CTCTTGGGGTTAGATATGGCCATCCACCTCACTTTGGCCAGTGAGATGTCGAGTCCAGCACGTGTGTCAGGAAAGTAACTAGTTCCCCGGGCAGACCTCTCACTTTTCCTCTTCCAGGGAACTTTGTGAAAGTACTTCAGTGTGGAGGGAAGCTGTACTAAAAATTACTCTGAGGGCAAAAGATTTGGGGGAGCAGGGAATATACCACTGTGTTTGAGCTACTAGGAATCGAGGTTAAGTGTTAGTGCAGCTAAGCCTGGTGTTTCCTGACGAATACAGAACGTGAGCTCTTTCTGGATGGTTATCTTCCAAGCCCAAGGTGTTGCTGTCATCCACGTGATCTAAGGTGACTCATTATGATTTAGAATGACTGAATTCCAACTTAGGACATAGGAAGGAAAAACAAGAGTGCATTCTTGACCAAGTATGGGAACAGGGGGAGCAGCGACCCTGTAATCCCGGTGCTTGAGAGGCTGAGGCTCCCTTATTAGAGGCTAACCTGGGCTATTTGAGAGGAACCTTTCTAAGATCCCAAAGTGGCACGTATTATATCCTTGGCATGCTGGGTGTTTTGGTTATCTATTACCTCATAGAACATTATTCCAAAGCTTAGCACATTAAAGCAACCAACTTTAAGTAGATCAAACAATTGCAAGAGTAGCCTAGGTGAGAAGTAGCCATTAAAAAGCTGCCATGATCTGACTCCTGCAGAAGGATGCCCTCCAAGGGCAGGAGGATATCTCACCAAGCTCACACACGGCTGTTGGCAAGACTCCTCATGGCTTCTGTCTTTTATCTGGAGGCCTCTGTTCCTTGCTAGCTGGGACCTCCTGAGAGCTGTTCAGCAGAACCGACATTTTCTCCTAGATCAAGGAGTCAGAGAGGAGGGGGAAGAGATGGCAGCCAGTGCCTTTTAGAACCTAATCAGGAGTGACTCCTTCCATAATTTTGGCTGTGTTTTATCCATCACACAGACTACTATGGTATGTTGCCTCTGGAACTTACAAGAAGTTGGATTGCTGCTGTGGCAGGGTTGGGAGTTGGGGTCTTTAAGAGGTGACTGTGTTAACAAAAGAGAATAATACCTTCCTTGGGGGAGTGGGGCAGGACTTGGGGCTGTAAGAGTGGGTTGTATGAGCAGGGCAGCTCCTGTATTACCTTTCTATAATGACCCCTGCCCCTTTCTGACTTTCTCCCTGTTTTGAAGGGACACAAGACCCTTACAGATGTGGCTGCTCAACTTGGACTTCCCACCTTCCAGAGCCATAAGGCTAAGAAAGCTCCCTTTCTTTGGAAGTTCCTCAGGCCCAACTCTTCTCCACAGAAATGGTAAAGAGACAGAGACGCAGAGGAAGACGTGTCCTATTTCACTTCTCTGTTTTGGGGATAAAATACTGACCAATGTGGGGAGTGAACAGCTCATTTCATCTCACAGTTACAGGCCATCATCAAGGGAGCTCAGGCAGGAGCTTGAGTCAGGAACCTGGAGCTGGTACTGAAGCAGAGGCCACAGAGGGATGCTGTTTACCAGCCTGCTCAGCCTGCTTTCTTTCACAGCCCAGGACCACCTGCCCAGGAGAGGCACCGCCCACAGTGGGTGGGGCCTTCCCACATCCATCATTGATCAGGACAGTGCCTCCCAGACACGCCCACAGGACAGTCTGATGGTGGCAATTCCTCAATGGAGGTTTCCTCTTCCCGGATGACTCTAGTTTATGTCAAGTTGATGAAACAAACAAACAAACAAAACCAAAAAACCAAACAAACAAACGAACAAAACTAACCAACGCAGCTGCGTACAACTTGAGAGGCCACTCAGTAAAAGTGTGACGATTGGAGGCAGATGACGTTAGTGGCATCTTGGGGCTGCTAAAACCCCTAACGGAATAGAATGTAAGCACACAATCTCCTGCTGGGCAGCCAACTCCTAAGCAAAACTCAGGATGTGGGAAGGACCTAGGGGGCAGCCAGGATTCTCTGCCTCAACTCTCTCCGCTGAGTACATAAATACTTCTCACATAGTCTATATTCTGACTTCTGGATCATGGCACCTGTACCCACAAGGATTCTAGGTCATACACACCCAAGAATTCTTCCTTTTATGGGCAATGTCAAATTCCCACGCAGAAAACTTTTTTAAAAACTAGCAGTGGAAGTCAGGCAGTGGTGGCACATGCCTTTAATCCCCGACTCGGGAGGCAGGGGCAGGTGGATCTCTGTGAGTTTGAGGACAGCCTGGTCTACAGAGGGAGATCCAGGACAGCCAGGAGGGTTACACAGAGAAACCCTGTCTCTACAAACAAAACAAAACCAACAAACAAAAACAAGACTCAGGAGTAGAAAAGGAACTTCCATTTGGAAGAAGAAGAAAGAGCATCTTTCTTCATTGCTGAACTGTAAGGGTGATTCCCATGAACTATGAGTCAGCTCATCACTGTTTGACATACTCAGATGTGTTAGCTAAGTTGAGATTCAAATCTTCTTATGTTTTCCCAAGCTTAGCCAGCAAACTCTTACAAGAAGCCACGGGCGCTGTGGGTCTAGAAGAGTAACTCTCCAGGCAGTATCCTCTGCATTTGGTGCAACCCAGATGGTGAAAGAGAGGAAGCGGGTCTTAGGAATGCGACTTCCTTCTTCCCATGCTAGTTTATAGAGAGAGCAACACATCACAGCTCCAGGGATCATAACACCTGCTTGGCCAGTATAAGCAGTGGCTGCTCTCCTAAATCCTGGTCTGACATGTGCCCAGGTCATTCCTCTTAGCACTCCCATCACAGGAAGAAAATGCAAAGTTCCCATGTATTTTTATTACTCTCGTGGTTGCTAGTCATTTTGGCATTGAGTTTAGGCAGGGGTACGTATGAAGCCGTTGCTGTGAGGCTTTCCTTTTTATTTTTTAAAGATTATTTATTCATTTTTATTTATGTGTATATGTGTGCCTGCCTGAGTTTGTATGTGCCACATGTATGCAGGTGCCCTCGGAGGCCAGGGGGCATTGGATCACCAGAAACCGGAGTTACAGGTAGGTGTGAGCTACTTGATACAATGTTGGGAATTGAAGCCTGGTCCTCTGGAGGAAGGCGTGTGTGTGTGTGTGTGTGTGTGTGTGTGTGTGTGTGTGTGTGTGTGTTTGCACCCTTAAATATATAAATACAACCTGCTCAGTCCATATAATGTTACTTGAATTGTTTGGTTTCAGAGTTGACCACGACGTTGAATAACCAGCTGGCATGCTCTTCCCAGGGAAGATGGTTTCTCTGGCTGTCAGCGTCCCTTAGTTGCCTGTAGTTCCTTGTCTAGGGCTGAAGCCTTGTGAGATATTTCCTCCTGTGCCTCCCTCGTGTATGTCAGCATGTCTATTGGCGGAGTGACCCACCGCCCCCCAATACGCAAGTGTAAAACGGTTTCTGACCCAGTCCTAGGGCTCGCTTGGCATTCCTCACTGCCCGTGGGCAGATCTGTGCAACATCTGCTTTACCCACAGCCGTCTGGGCAGCACTTTTCTCCCTCCATGTGTAGATGGTATCTAGGAGAGTGCTTAGAAAATGGAAAATTGCTCTCTCTCTGCTCTCTGTCACTGTATGTCCACATTCCTGCTTGGCCCCATCTTTGGCCTTCGTGTCCAGAAGGAAGTCAAAATTTAGCCTGGGTGCTGACAACTGCTTAGAACATGAATTAGGTTACAGGGCAGTGTGCCAGACGCCAGGCCATTTTGTTCAGGCTCTGGTTCATAGTGTATTTGTTAACAGAAGAACTCTTCTAAGGTAGAGAGAGAGGAAGCTGACCAAGGATGTTTAATAGGATCTTGTAAACATTTGTGTTGGTGATGATTCTTAGTGTTCATGGGATCTATTTTAAAGAAATTCAAAGACTGAGCCAGAATGGTAGGTAAAAACTCAGAAGTGTGCCCAGTATCACTCTTGGGTGGCCTAGCATGAGTTTCAAATGCCCTTTCCAATCTCCATCCTTTCCTTCTTTCTTACCTTCACAACCTTGATCTTGCTGGTCATATGACCCACTCTGGCCAATGAGATATAGTTGGAAGTTGCTAGGTGGGGGCTTCCAGGAACCCTCACCCCATTTTTTGCAAGGTAGGAAGGAAACCTTTTTAAATGGGAAGTAGTCACTGTTTGGCCTTTGGGGCACTAGCTCCCTCCCACCTCCCTGTGAAATGCATACTCAGTATCTCAGCATCCATCAACTTAATAGCCAGCCAGGCACTAAAGATTTTGAAGTGGAAATGCTGCACACCTGAAATCCCAGCCCTTGGGAGGAGAAGGCAGGGGGATCTTGGTTCGAGGCCAACCTGGGCCACATAGTGAGACTCTGTCTCAAAAATCAATCAATCAACCAACCAATCAATAATAGCAAAGTGTGAAGACAGGATGACCCCAGTGACATTAGGGAGTTACTCTGACAGCCCAAAATTACCTACAAGTTGATGAGCTGATGCCTTTGTTTATTTGTTTTGTTTTTTCAGAGACAGGGTTTCTCTGTGTAGCCCTCACTGTCTTGGAACTGGATCTGTAGACCAGGCTGGCCTTGAACTCAGAGATCCACCTAAAGGCATGCACCACCACTCTAGGCTCAGCTGATGTCTCTTAAAAAATCAAGCCAGCAAACAAACATCCCGGCTGAGTTTAATCCACTGTAACCAAGTTACTCTTCTGTGGGATAGGGTACACCATCAACAGAGATACTCTTCAGGCATTTGTGTGCTGAGACAGTGAGGGAATACAAAAGGCTAGAGCCCCTTGAAACAATGTGGCTCATTTGGGGGCCCTTGTGGGAAACGCAGATTCTGAGTCTGTAGGTCAGGCCTGTGGTCTGAGATTCTGCATGGTCTCACAAGCTTTTAGCTAATACTGATGGGGTAGATCCTGGACCACATTTGGAGTAGCAAAAATTTGGAAAACAGATGCCCTTTTGGAGATTGTCTCTTCATTCGCTTCCTATTCAGCTTAAAATAAACAAACAAATAGAACAAACAAAAAACTCCATGAATTTTCAACGAAAGTCTTTTATTTAGAACATCATTTTTGAAACAAAAAGCAGTTCATTTTATTCAGCAAAATAAGCCCAACAAGTTCATTTAAATAAACTGCAGACTCTGTAAATTTTTTCCTTAGCTACTTGCTTTTCTACCGCTTGGAGTCCGAAGTTGCTAGCCTAGGGGTCTCTCCGAGGTAACACAGCCGTAAGTGAAGGGACTGTTATATATAAAATTTCAATGACTCAAATACACCCGTGTTCTCATTCCACTGCCAGTGAATTAAATGAAGCAGAGGGGGAAAGACACAGGGAAGTGGACTCAGGAGATGTTTTTCCGACCGACTTGTTCTGATATCGTCTCAATAGAAGCCTGGCGGCTCTGAAGAGGATGGGACATGTGAATTGTTACTAGAAGGTAATGACGAAAGGCAAACAGAAATTTTTTTCCACTGTCATCTTGCATTAAATTCCAAAGGGGGAATGCAAGCCACGCCCCTTTCCCAGCCAAACCATTGCTTTCCACAGAACTGCATTTAGCTTCCTGTTATTTTCTTTATTAGTTATATACATTTAAAAAAATACATCGTATTAAATAGCAGGACAGCAAACAATGGGACATTCAACACTGCTCTGAAACATCAAAACAGCCTGGGTGAGCCGGGGCGAGGAGGAGCAGGTGGCGTTCACGGAGCCATCCAGCGGGGCTGTGGGTGCCCGGCTCCCTAATCCGTAACAGACCTGCATTCGGAGGGCAAGCCTTCTGACCGCCGCCACTGGGCCAGGCGCTGCTTAAACCATTTCTGAAGGAGAGAAATGAGGAAAATTGTCTGTCACAGACTGAAACACTGAAACGTCTATTTCATGTCTAAGGGTAGTCGGAGTGGCCCAACTGGGAAGGAGAGAAGCAAGGGATGCAGGATGGTTCTCTCAGCACGACACCAACCTTCTTTGCCTCAGGAACTCTGCGCATGCCCCATATTCTTCCTCTAATTCTCTCTCTCTCTCTCTCTCTCTCTCTCTCTCTCTCTCTCTCTCTCTCTCTCTCTCCTTTAGGTCTCAGCTTAAACAAGACCACTCTATGAAAAGCAGGTTCTCCTTATTTCCTGTTTGACTGTTTCATTCACTCCATAGGACTTTCACTATCATTAATTGTCTGCACACACACTCTTCTAGAACGTAAGGTCCGTGAATGCCAAGGCTGTGTTCATCTATCATCATTGCACTTTAGCCCTTACACCAAGTCTTAAGATGTAACAGATTAATCAATGTCTGATGAGTGAATAAAAGGAACTAGAACAACTCCTCGATACCCCCAGAGGATTTCTAGTCTCGGGGTTCGCCATCTCATGATGGGTGCCGATGTCAACATGGGCTTTGCTCCTTAGTAGTATCCTGGTAAAGTTGTGTTCGATAAACGACCTATAACTAAGCACTAGGCAACCTTGGATCACCCCTCCTTAGGAATCCATGGAGCGGACCACTGAGCCGTGAGAGAAGTGAGTTTATCCATGACTCAGAATTATCCAGCTCAATGTCACTCAAATAATTGCACCTTACCAATGTCAATGGTAATTTTGGGGAGGCCTCAGTGAGATGCTTCTAGAATGGAACTAAGGGAGGCTCAAGACACTTCTGTAAGCTGTAAAGCAGTGTAGCACAGTCTCAACAAATTGGCTGCCTTCACAACAGTACTTCGGATTGAGGGCCTTGGAGACGAAGAAATTAAAACTGTGCTGGGGACCAAGACCAGATCTGAACCAGGAGGTCAGAAGGAAGCTGGGGTTTGAAGAAACCAGCTTTGAAAGGCACCGTTGAGGAAACAGAAGCAGCAGGCTTCTCTTCTTGGGAAGACAGAACGAGCAGTTTCCCCTTGAGCCTGGCATCTCACGTGTCATGGGGGACACTGGTAGTGGTCAGATCACATAGCATTGGTCTAATTGGTCAAGCTGCTAGAGGAGATGAGCACCTGCTCACAGGTACAGCCCACAGTCAACTCTACTGTCACTGGCTGGCTGTAAGAAGTCCCCAAGAACAGTGTCAGTCAGTCGGCTCATCTGCAGACCAAGAGGTGAGCGTTGGAGGCCTCTATTGTCCTTTGCGGGGTTTCCTCGGGTTTCCCTACTCTCAGGGTAAGGAGGCGGCAGGGCCAAAAGGAAGAAGTAGAGCTGTAATACAGCCGCCCAGGGGTGCGGGGACAGAGGTGGCCCCAGCGGGAAACATCTGTTCAGCATTCATGTTCAGCCTCACAAGTCGGCTGGGCCCTATTGGAGAAAAGCTGGTCTCTCCTGAGATCTAAGGAGCCCAAGATCAGAAGAAAGGATGTGAACCCCAGGACGGAAGAGCTGCTAACAAGCAAGTGCTGGGGACAGGCTGTCACTCAGGAGAGGGTCTGAGGCTTCGGGACTGAGAAAGGCTCCCATCCCTGCTTAGTGGGCTGAGCATGTGCCATGTCAGGACTCACTTTACCCACCTGCTGAGCCTCTCCACCTCACCCTGGCGCCAGAACCAGTTGTCTCTCCACCCTTATTCTGGGAGTAGCAGCAGAGAAAAGCCATAGAAGGCCAGGTGGGGGGGTAGGGAGGGTGTCGGACCACCAGACTTCTCTATGGGACTTCATTTCACTCTGAAGACTCGCTAATTTTGTTTTTCTCTGTCTAGATTATTATTATTATTATTATTATTATTATTATTATTATTATTATTATTATTATTATTTCCTTTCTTTTCCTGTTACTGCTTTTGAACCGGGCTCATTACGAATCCGGAGACCTTGAGCCTCTGATCCTCCTGGGGTTACAGATGTTGACGGTGCCTGGTTTATTCCGTACTGAAGATGGAACCCGTGGCTTGTGCATGCTAGGCAAGTGCCCTACCAAATGAGCCACATCCCCACGGGCATCGCTAATCTTAAGGAGAAGAGAGGGCCGATGGGGCAGTGGCTTCAACCCAACTTTGATTGTGAAGAGGGGGGCACATTTTCTTCTTTTAATCTGTGTGTGTGCTCAGTCAAGCCTGGGTCTGGTTTGAGAGCAGCATGGTGCCAACTTCATTAATGAGGTAACTGTGGGGGTTTCGAGGCTGCAAGTGCTGATTAAATAGGATTTCCAGGGACTAGAGCTGAATAAATGGCAGCATTTTAAAGACTAATTAAAACCTAGATGGGAGAAGGGGGGGAAAAACACACTTTCTATCAGGACTCATTTAAGACAAAGTGGTTAAGCTGGCCTCATTCAAAAGAGCCACCCGCATCTTCACATGCAGAATATTGATGGGTCATTACCCAAAATAGCTTCGACCTGGACCACATTTGGGAATTTGCAAGGTACAATCTAAATGCTTAACAAGTTGAGCCCTGGAACTGAAAGATGGGAAGAGGTGTGAGAAAATCTCAGCTGTTTTCTGGATATATACATACATACATATACATATATATTTGTATATCTTGTCAATGAAGGTTGTACATCATAATTCAGCAGACTAGTTGCTGGTAACAAAATGTACCCCATCTCTTGCTAGCTCCTCTCCTGTCTAGTTCTGGATCTTGTAGCTTCTGACTCACATAAAATCCTAATTTTCCACCTGGCTTTGTCTCTCTCTTCTTTGTTCCAGCCATCCCCTGGGAAAGACATTCATCCCTTGCTTGCTCGTGAATGGGTGCTCTCATTACTCCTGCTCATTGATGGAAGTTTATTTACTCTGCGTGAATGGATGATAACTGGACACTGGGGTTGGGAGGGGTTGGGTCAAAACAACATCGTTCTTGTCCTTTTCTCTAACAGCTAGCATTTCATTCTTTTCAGAGCGAGACCTTTAGAGGTCTTGTCCCACTGATAAAACACGCAACAACTGAAAACGCCGAGTCCTGGGAACAAGTCCAGAGCACCAGAAAGAGATAAAAATACTGGGAACTTCTTCAAGAAGCAATGCCAACTACACTGTACGTGTGTGTGTGTGTGTGTGTGTGTGTGTGTGTGTGTGTGTGTGTGTGTAGAAGACTGTGTCATCCCAGCCTCTCAGGGTGGAAATGAAGTAGTGATCCCAGCCCCCTTTACACTGACTTCCATACAGTAAAAAACCACAGGAGTGGGATTCTGTAGGATTTCACTTAACTTAAATGTAGGAGTTACACAGTGCACTGGTAGTGAGAAAAGCTCCTCCGAGAATCCCAACAACACAATTTAAGAAGTCCTCTGACGATGAGGCCCTCACTGCACACTGAGTTCCTGCAGGTGCCTTCCCATAGTGGAGAATTTGGTTTGATAGTGGGACCGTTACAAGGAGGTCTGCAGATGCACTGGTGACTCACAAACCCGAGGACTGGCTTTTCATACCATTTTACCTCAAACCGTATTAGGTTGTTGGTATATTACCCATTTCATGTAGGGTGGGGCAAAAAGAAAAAGAGGTCGGCAAAAGTCCCTGCCAGGACGTTCCTGCCTCTAGTCTTTCTCGCCTTTACCAAAGTGCCAACAGTGTGAACCAGTAACTACCTCTCAAGAGTGGATCGTGTGCATTCCTCTGTTACCAACACAATCCTTGTTTAAGGGAAAGAATAAGAATATGATGCTGGGTATTGTGATACCTGTCTGTAATCCCAATAGTCAGCAGCTGAGGCAGGAGGATTGTGAGATCATGGCTGGTTTGGACCACAGAGGAAGACCCTGTCTGTCTCGCTCTCTAAAAAAGGGGAGGGGGCCTGATCTGTCTCTGGAGATGGCCGGTGTTGGGATGGGAAGTGGATTCTGGCGTATGTCATGAGTATCATTTTGGCTGGGAGAGGACCACACCAGTAAAGAAGAGAGACAGGGGCTGTGTGACAGCAGGCCTAGGTAAGAATCGGCAGGCGCTGGCCTCCACGGAGTTCTATTCAGCATCCCTAAAGACCTGCTACACACAAAAGCAATTATCTTACGATTGCCATCTCATCACTGGACTCTGTATCTGCAGAAGATACTTTCCTTTGAAGAAGACATCTTTTAAAACGCAAACGTTAGAGAAGATTACAAACCACTTTCACACGCCCGCGCACATGAAGGCGGTGTGTGGAGTTAAGAAAGGATGGGGAGATGGGACCCAGTCCAACAAGAAACGACAGGGCAAGCAGAAGGTCGTCCCTGGAACTTGCTACGCTAAGACTCTGAGCTCTGGGTTCCAGGTACTTCTCCGCAGGTCTAGACAGGAAGATGAGGGTAAGCTGAGCTGCAGCCGGCCTCCTCTGGAGGAAGAAGGTGTTGGCCCATGGCAGGAAAAGGAAGCCAGGCCCTCCCATGAGGCTGACTCACCCACACCCACCCTCGTCATGCTGGCTGCACCAGTTGTTCAATTGAGGATGTCAGAAGAGGCCAGACTGAAGAACTGCCGTGGCAGAGAGAGACCCACTGTGCAGGTTTCTGCATCCGTTGATCTCAAGCATGAAAAGGCAGATGCCCGTTCCTTCAGCCCCTACTAGACTTCAATTCTCTACTAGCAGGTACATCCGGAGGAAAAGTTAGCAAGGGCCTGGGATGACCATGGCGTGATGCACGGGTAAACTGTTCTTTCTCTCTTTCTTTCCCATCTCACAGCTGTTTCCGACCTTCCCCGGGGGAGGCAGTATAGCACAGAGGCTCAGCACGGAAACAGACTGCTGGTTGCAGGGTTAGTAACCTAAGCTTTCTGAGCCTCGGTTCCTTCATCGAGCTAACAGTGCTGTCTCTCTTAAGATAGTGACACTCAGCGAGTATCCAAAACAACACATGGCAAGTATCCATCACTCCAAAGGTCAGCGTGGGACTGGTGGCTCAGTGGTACTGTACATGCTTAGCATGCTCAAGGACCCCGCCTTGATCTCCAGCCCCGCACATGCACACCTGATGGTAAATGACGGACACACATGACTGTTTTTCAGGGTGAAGAGACTTAGAGACAGAGTCAGGATTAGATCCCTAGTTGGTACTGTGTCCATAATACCCAATAGCCTAGTTCTTAAAACATGAGACATCTTTATGACCGTTAAATAAAGCGTGGGTTTTAAAAGGCTAATACTCGAACAGCTTGCCTTTTCATGGGTTCCAGGAAACATGAGCTTTTAGACTTGGGTTACAATAAATCATCTTCTCCTGGGCTCTGATTCTGGTTAGATAGCCTTTCCGTTTGATCTGAGATCGAGAGGATTACCTATGGGTAAGTTCTCCAAGTCGCCCAGGCTCAGTAAAGATCATCCAGGGCTTGGGGCTCAGGGTTTTGGTCCCAGGATCCCAGAGAGCACTCATTACAAGGTTTTAAGCAGGGTGAAGAGAGGACAAAGCCCCTCCTTCTCCAGTCTAACTGGGAGGGATAAGAATATCCTAGTTTCAGAGTAGCGCTGAGATGGGAAAAGCGAGGTCAGATTTAGAGAAGGCTGGGGAGGGAAAGTCGGCTAAAAGCTCCAACATTGCACCAGGCGGCGCTGCAATCTCTACCCTAAACAATTTTCAGGATAATGGGCTAACACGGGGGCCTTTTACAAATAGACACATTATCATCGCGCTGGGGGGTTGTGCGCCAAAGCGTCAGAGGGCTACCTTCTTGGAAAACTCCAGAGAAAGACTCTAAGCCTCAGAACCAGGGGATTAATAAAAACGACAACAAAACCCAAACCAGACCATGGCAACGTGCCAGTCAGGCTGTGTAGCTGAGGTGACACATGCAGCACCGCGCAGTGGTAATGTGGCGGGAAGAGCAACCGAACAACCCTGGCAGGTGTCCCGCCGCCCCCGCCTTGGTTTCCTCGTTTGACAAACCCAAGGGCTGAATTTATAGCTGATCGCCAAAGTCCCTTCCAACTCTGACACCCCTGCACGCCCCAGCTCAGCAGGGAGAGTTACGGAGCTGGGAAACTGAAAGGAGAGCAAGCAAGATGCTCCCACCACAGAAGGAGAAAGCAGGGACCCGTCTCTGGGAGGCGATGGAAAGCCAGAAGGAAAGTGGCGATGGGCTGGGGCTGGGGTGGAGGTGGACTGGGCGCCCAGGGAGCTGCTGAGTGGTGATGCATGGACTGGGATCCACGCCGCGGAGGCCCCGCGGGGATGCGCTAGGGTTGGGGACTCACCTGCGTCTCCTCCTCCGTGAGGCCCGCCTCGGCGGCGATGAGGCACAGCGTGGTGGCGTCGGGGTGCTTGTTGACCTTGTTGAAGTTGTATTCCAGGATCTCCACCTGGTCCTCCGTGGGGCCGCTGGCGGTCTCCGCCGACATGGTGCTGGCGCGGCTGCGGTGTGCGGGGAAGAAGAGGCGCTGGGTCAGCAAGGCCGGCCTGTCCCCTCCCGCCGTGTCACCGAGCTCCCTCCTGTCCCCTGCCCGCTCCCCTCGCCGCGCGCTGCAGGCTGCGAGCTCCAGGGCGCCCTCCCCGGAGCCCGGGAGGACGGACTACAGAGCACGTCCTCGGCCTCCCGGCACGGTCCCCAACCTGGGCAAGGATGGAGAAGAGAACGAAGATGCCTCCCGGCTGTCACTTCGAAGGCACAGTAGAGGAAGCGCCTTCAGAGCTGCCTCTGGAGATCCAGAGCTGCCCTGGGGACCGAGGACACACACGGGGCAGGGCTCCGGGCCGCCTGGGCACGCCTCCCCCGGCCGCCGCACCCCGCCTCCGCCGCGGGCGAGCACGTGGGGGCCTCGCCAGGGAGCGCTGGGCACCGGAACACTTTGGGGGAAGAGATGCCCACAGCACAAGTTGGGGAAATGGAGACCGTACGTTTTAAAAAAAGAATAACAACAATAGATCTTTACTCCCTCCCCCGCCCATTACAAAATAACACATACTGTAGAAAATCTGAAGTACATTGAAATCACAGAGGGAAAGTTAAATTGCCCACATAGTCACAAATAACAGCTATAAAATTTTAAACGACGCTTTAAAGATCTTTCCAATTTACAGATATGGAAATGGAACCACAAGAGATAATGATATACAGAGATGGAGTGGAGGAGGCTGAGTCACCTGCATGCCTTGTGGAGGGCCACTGCGACCCACTTGCCTGGTGACTTTTTAACTTAAGCTGTGAACCCCAGGCTTGCTATTGCCCGGCCCCCATCCCAAGAGCCCACCCCATTGTGCTCCCCTGTGTGGGGGCGATCCCTTTCAAAACCAACACAATTAAGCAGTATCAAAATCAACTGTCATTTAAAACCTCGGACTTCCTCAAGGGAAAATAGGTCCACCTCAGGCTTCAAGGTCTCTTGCACGCCTTCACTTTAAAGACAAATATTGCCCGCAGATTGGGGCAACGACCTTTTCTGCTGTGTTCCCTCCCCATTGTGTAGCTCAGACTCGGGACTAAGAAAGCCGACAGTTGTACTTCCCTCCTACGCAACCCCGTTTGAAGACTGTGAGTTAGGGAATGTTGGTCTTCAAGATATTCTTGGTTGTAGATTTCGTTACAGGTTTGGCCCAGCAGAAGTGTGGGAATCACCCTGGTTTGTTTGCATTAACAAACATTGCAAAAATCCTCAGCAGAGTGATGAGCATGTTTTGATGTGGTTTGTGCCTGAGGGTAGGAGTGGGAGGTGAGCTACTTGGATAACGTCCCCAGACCTTGGACATTTTTACCTGTGACCTATACCTCCTACTTCCTAAATAATTGTCTTTACCTCTCCTCTAGTTCCCTTGAGGAGATTCCCAGACAGGACAAGAAGCTTTTTGGCTGTGTGGGACCGGGGTTCAAACCATTTGCCAAGTCACCATCAAATCATTTTCAAGGGTACTAGATGTTCAAGTCAAAATTTGTACCAACTCTCTGTACCAAGGCCGTCGGGGTCCATCAGGTCAGTAATACCTCTCCCATTAGCACGAATCCTCCCTTTCTATGACACAACTCTCTGGAAAGTCATCTCCTCACAGCCAGGGACACTGAGGCAGAGAACCCAGAGCTCTGCCGATATCCAACGATGACCGGCACTCTAGAGTGGAAACGCTGAGCGTTGGTTCAAGGCCAGTGTTTTGCTGGCCTCCCTTCAGTAAGCCAGTTTGTCTTTAGTTTAGTGGGAGAAAGTTGGGAGGGTCGCAGCGTGAGTGCAGGGAGGGGCTTGTTGCCTTTTCCAGTGGGTGTGTTTCTAGTTAGACACTGATCCCAGCCAAAGCTGTCCACGGAAGCCACCCACCACTGTTCACGCTGTCAACTAAAAGAACATAGCAAGGGCAAGGCTGCCTCTGGTTTTACTTCCTGCCCTGGAAAGGTTTCCATCCCTTCCATTTATTCCGGTCCTGCTGGCTCTTCCCCCAGAACGTCTGTTGCTGTCTTATGGGATCCTCCGGCCTCCAGAAATATCACACTGCGGAACCCAGTTCAGACTCACACACGTGTTTTCCCGTCTTTTTGTAACTGCTGCTATATAACTCATGGGCTGCTAACGTTCCTACGTGGAATCAGTGTATTCTACTTTATTAGACTTCTGTGGCTTTCGCTTACCACACTGTGTGGGGTTATAAGGGTGACGTCCTGGTTGACTTCAAAGGATTGCTAAGGTTGGTCGGCAGAGGACCATTGCCGACTGCTAAGAGGACTTGTAGGCGGGTCCTCTGCACAATTTACCTAGTTGTCCAAGGTCCACCGAAGAAGTGTACTTGGCTTCTGGCGGTGGGGATGAAAGAGCTCTACCGTCACATGTATTTGTTATTGCTCTGCAGAGCTTAGGTGTTATTATTTCAGCTCTCTCTCGTCAGCAAATGTTTGCTTTTGCTGTGTTCCTTTCTCTCTCTCTCTTACTGTATAAATGACACTGCCCTGGTAACCTTGGCCTTGTAAAGGCTCTCAACTGTTTCCAGTAAGGAAATAAGGAAACTCTTGAGCAGTTGCTCTGAAGATAGTCTAAACAATTTCAGACACAAGGAACTAAGAACTATTTTGAAGCAATTTAACATTTCATCTTAACACCAGTTTTACGGTTGCGGTTGTTCACATCTTATGAAACACTTTGAAGAGTAATTTGTCCTGTCATTGTATTTTTCTTTTGTGGTTGGGGAAGTCATTGCACAAGCCTTTTCGAGAGGTTAAGTGAAACCAGCTGGCTTTTTTAAAAAATCAGTTCCAAAGCCAGGGCTGACAGTGGTGTGGGTCCAACAGCGTTATGTCCCATGAGCCCGTGGTCCTTTACCTTGCACATATCCGTCTACATTAACTAGCTCACACAAAGTTCTATGAACTGGTAAACTTTGGCTACCTTTTAAAATACCTTCTCCCTCTCCCAGAATTATGACCTACCTCTCTGTAATGCCACTAACACCCAAACAAGAGAGAAAGAAATTCCTCAGGAACCCACTCCAGTGGTGAGCTGGCCACAGGGGGAAAAGCAGGTGATTTCTTTTTTTTCTAAGACACGGTCTCAAACTTGCTATATAACTGTTTATGATTTTGAACTTCTGAGCCTCCTAACTCCACCTCCTGTGTGTGTGTGTGTGTGTGTGTGTGTGTGTGTGTGTGTGTGTACTGGGGAGTATACCCAAGGTTTTATGCATGTTGGATGAGCATGCTACCTATCAACTGTGACCTACATTGATAATCCAGGTGGATCATTCTTTAGGGGCTATTTCCCAATTTTCCTTGCCTGCATTTTTCTTGTGTTCACTGTGAACTTCCTGCAAGTAATTGGTTCTGGAAATATTTTATTTTTTCAAGTGAAAAAAAAAGATGGTGTGTGGCTACTTCTCCAAGAGAAGTGATGGGTCTCTGCTTTCGAAGGCTGGAGATCTTCGTACTCATAGATTACTTAACTACCACTCTACAGAAGGACAAAGGGGGCTCACCCAAACTTTCAGTGTCTCTTAGAAACTGAAGAGAAGGAAGAGTCTGTGTAATGGTTTGAATGAGAAAGGCCCCCATAGTCTCACATATATGAATGTTTGTTTCCCAGTTGGTGGACAATTTAGGAAGGATTAGGAAGTATGCCCTTGTTGGAGGAGATGTGTCACTGGGTCACTGGGGTGTGGGCTTTGAGATTTCAAAAGTCCACACTAGGCCCAGTCTTGTGCTAACCCCACCCCCAACCTTCCACCTGCCACCAGGATGTAAGCAAGCTCCCAGCTACTGCTCCAGTGCCGTGCCTGCTGCCATAGTCCTGGCCTTGATGTTTCTGGACTCACCCTCAGAAACTGTAAGCAAGCCCTCAATTAAACGCGTTCTTCTATACGTTGCCTTGGTGATGGTGTCTCCTCACAGCAATAGAACAGTAACTAAAATATTTGGAGTAAAGCTCAGTGGGTAGAACCTGGCATGTGCAAGGTCCTAGGTTCTGTCTCTAGCCCTGAATGGATCTGCCCCTACCTTCTGGCACCCATGATAGGCATGCCTGAAGAGGTGTCCCTTTAAATAGAAGCCTCATTATTACTGTCCTTGAGCTAGGAGCAATGGCTGTCAAGCCTCACTGAGTCTCAGAATCATCCAGGGTTAAGTCTAGGCCCATTCCACACCTCCTAAATGAGAACCACTCTTTAGGAACCTAGTGTGGGAGAGACATGGAGAGTATTTCAACTACTCTCATATCTCCCAATTTAACTACTGAAATTAACTATAAGCATTCAGAAATTCTTACAGCTGACCTCCCTCTTCTTGGCTGTGCGTCATCTCAATATTTGAGTAGATGGTAAACTGAGATAGTTTTAGAGAAATGTTTGAAAGATAAGTCTTAATTTCTAAAAATAATTTTGTTTCTTTGGCGGTGCCGGGGTGGGGGTGGGGGGTTGACCATTCTTGCCCATGCCTTCTGAAGCCCCGTTAGAGGAGTTCTCTAGAGTATGAGGTCTGGACCTGTTGGCTTACAGGAAGTGCGGCTGTCTTTCCTTGCAGGTTAACATCAACATTTTCTCCCAGGGGTCTCCAGTAAGGCTCCCTTTCGAACAGCAACAACATCCCGGTTCTCTGCCTCATCACCACTTGTACTGTCAACCTTGACCTTTGCCAGAGCTGTGGGCTCTGGTCATCTGCGACTGCCATTTCCACTTACAGCTTGTGCGACCTCTCAGGGTTAAAGGCCCCATCTGATCACTATTTACTGTGGAAAAGTATTTCCTGTTCCAACCCACAATGGGATTTGAAGTATTTTCTTTTTGAGAGTTTGCGCTTGGCCTCTAAGCTAGCTTAGCTGCTCCCATTGGTCACCGGAACAATGATGAAAGATGGAAGGAAAGCTAGTTACGAGGAGCTCCTGTCTACGGCGTGCTTAAAGCATGATTATTTTACTTCTCCAGAGCTCTTAGAAGTCAGAACTTGATTTTGCAATTAAAATGGGTTAGTCAATTAAGCACCCCACCCATACCAAGTAACACTCAGTCTCCAGATGGACACTAAGTGATGGATGGAAAGAGGAAGGATGATGGACAGACTACAAAGTGGAGAGAGATTATTAGACTGTGGACACTGTATATTGATCATGGTGTGCCGAGCTCTGCTTTTTCTTTGTCATTTTAGTCTCTCTCAAAACTCTTTCTTTGAAACCATAGTGGAATTGGTTTCTTATTTTGCAATCGAGAAACATTAACTAACTTGTCTACAGGGGTCATGGGAGGGCTGAAAACTCTGTCTTTTATCTTAGCTACAGGAAGGAGAAAAGGTAGCTTGTGATTTCATGAGCATCAGGGTTTACTTATGCCTCCAAATATATTCTTCGTATGCTCTGCTGATGTCACAAATCCCAGGCTTTCACTGAACCACCCATCTGAATCTTTGACTTAATCATCCATCTTCACCTTTGATGAAGAAGTAGTGTGATGAAGACTGAAGATCCTTACCAAAGTGACCTGAGCCATTGCTGACCTCCTGTGGTTGCTCCAGCCTCATTCTCTTGGCTTCTGGTATGACATGGCTTTCTTTTAAAAACCCTTGTGTCAGCTGGGCAGTGGTGGTGCACGCCTTTAATCCCAGCACTTGGGAGGCAGAGCCAGGCGGATCTCTGTGAGTTCGAGGTCAGCCTGGTCTACAGAGCGAGATTCAGGACAGGCACCAAAGCTACACAGAGAAACCCTGTCTCAAAAAAACAAAACAAAACAAAACCAAAAAAAAAACCCTTGTCTTTTACTTGACATTACTCAACAGAGGTAATGGAATATACTCCTTTAAAGCTTTGTTCAGATGCCATTTGACATTGAAGAAGTTGAAGTATAGTCTGTGAGACCAGAGACCTTCACCTTTGACCACTGTGACAGCAAACAACACAGGCAGAACCACTAACTCACAACGACAGCCATGCATGCACACTGTTCTGGAACATGCCTCATATGACTCAAGACTAAAAGATCGAAATATCTGCTTCACTCGGGTCTATGCTATACCGACCGGCTGCCAGTGGCCAGACCAGAGCCTCATTCCTGCAAGGTTTGCCAGGCAGAGGTGACGTCATGCTGGAGTTCTGATACTTTGGCCCTGCCACAGAATTGAGCATCAGTCAATGGGTAATCCAGGACTTAAAAATATGAAGTGTTGCCCTTTTCCTTTTAGTTCTGCATTTTTTTGAGCTTTCCTAAAGGTCCTATTCAGTTCGCTGTTTCCCAATATTTCTTCCTTTACGTTTGCTTTCTTCTTGCCTTAGAAATCCTGCTGCTCTAAGACATATAGTGGAATTAAGAACAAAATGGGGAGATGATTCTGTTGGAAAAGTGCTTGCTGACAAGTCTGAGGACCTGAGTTCAAATCCCCAGAACCCACGTAAAAAGCCAGATGTTGTGGCACACACTTGTGATCCTAGCAATGGCAAGATGAGAGGGAGGTGGAGACACGCAGACCCCTGTAAGCTTGCTGGCCAGCTATCCTAATCTACCTGGTGAAGTTCCAGGCCCGTGACCAACACTGTCTTAACAGAAGATGGGAAATACCTGAAGAATGAAACCCAAGAGTGTCCTCTGACATCCACGTGTGTGTATGCACACGCACACACACACACACACACACACACACACACACACACACACACACTCACACATACATTTGTACACATGAAATGCACACACACAAATTTCAAAGTGAAATGTGAGTTAATATGGTAAAAAAAAAAATCAAATTCTCTGAAATCTCCAACGCTAAGCATTGGAAAGCTCACTTTGCTCACTCCTATGAGGAGGAGACACACCACAGTGGAGTGGTCACACCTTACCCAACTCAGTGTTGTGGTAACCTCCCATGCTGTGTTCACAACATGGCGCTTACTCACAACTACAAAGTGTTTCTTGTGTGGTATGCTACTGCTCTTTAAATGGATGGGAGCTAAGGGTTCAGCAAAGTCTCTCCTGGTCCGACAACTAGAGAGGACCATTTATGTCTCACTTTATCTGGGGTCCAGTCTCTCCTTTGTAGTCTTTATGGAAAGGTAAAGCCCAATGGTGGAACTTAGAACCTTTCTTTAAAAGTCAAATGCCGTGGCTGTAGCTTCATTGTGAGTAGATGGTGGTGGAAGCCGATGGGTAGAGCGATGCTCTCATCTTCAGTGAGCCTTCTGGACATTACCCATCGAGTTGTGCTTCATTGTAGATACTGTAAAAACTGCGTTTCTACTCATTCCTCACCGCTGGTTCCTTGCTCTCTCTTCCTTCCCTTTTATTTATGAGACCACATTCATAGCATGGAGGAGGAGGCCAGGGAGACAGATAAAAGGGCTATCTGCACAAGGCTGAGGACTTCAGTCCTATCCCCAGAACCCATGTTTTACACCAAAGGCTGATGTGGTGACGTGCATCTTAACTCCAACAATTCTATGGCAGGATGGGAAATGGAGGCAGACGCTTCAAATCTCAAGGTTTTTAAGGGCACAGTGGAGCTTCAAACCCAGAAAGCCCGGCTTCTCCATCCACATTCTTAACTACCACACCGTATTTGCTCTGTACTGAGTAGCCGAGTGAACAGACGACCCTTGTCGGGTAGTTGTGTAAAAGAGGAAATAGGACTAAGTGATGCCCTGTGTGCCTGTGGCATGACCCAGCCCACTGGATGACTCTGGAAAATCAGCTCACACCACCAGCTAGGTTGGCTCCCCTACCTCACATGCTCTTCTTTCATTGGTGCAGATATGGCTGAGAGATGACATTGGTGATGCATATGTCATACAAATGAGAACGAGTTGCAGCGTTCAACAGAATAGAGTGGAATGCTTACCTTTGGTGAGAGCAACAAGGGCTTATCTGTTGCTACAATTCCGTCCCTGGATTGTACATTTGTATTGAACCGATCAAGGAAGTTCCTGAAACTTACGTTGCAAAGGTTTAGATTTTTTCTATATCATCTTCAGAAAACAGGAAGATGTTATTAAAAAAAAAACAAAAGAAAACTACCAGAGGGGCGGGTGTCTGGGAATGACTTCCAGCCGTGAGTCAACCATTAGTTGACCCTTAACATACAATTCTTCTCACAGACACCCAGTTCTTTTCACTGAAGGCCTGCCTAGCTGTTTCAATCTTGTACGTGAAGCACCAGGAACAGGAGAAGATCATAATAAAGCTTTAGGCTTCTCTGAGCATGCCGTGAAACAAGCGACGAGTTCAGCCAATCTTTTTGGAAATAAATGGTCAAGAGTGAGAGGGAGATCCGCATGAGTAAGCAATCTGCCTTTTATAATGATGTTCACGAACTCAAAAGTTTTCTCCAGGAAGATTATAAACTGTAGACTCCCAGGCCAAATCACAACAGGGGGCATAGCTAAAACACTGCATGATTGCAACTACCAAAGGAAATTATCCTGTTGAAACAGCCCAGTGAAGCCATTTGCTTATTTGGAACACAAATGCTTTTCTAAAAGGCCATTTTAATTAAAAACTGGATCGGCAAATGAGATTTTGGTGTAGCTAGTGATGGGACTTGCAAGAAACTTTTGAAGATTTGGGGGTTTATAGCACAATTCTTATTATACTCATACCTAGAAAGTCCCTAAAGCATTATCAGGTGTTTTGTGAATTCATAATCGTTGTTTTTTTTTTGTTTTTTCGAGACAGGGTTTCTCTGTGTAGCTTTGCGCCTTTCCTGGAACTCGCTTTGGAGACCAGGCTGGCCTCGAACTCACAGAGATCCGCCTGGCTCTGCCTCCCGAGTGCTGGGATTAAAGGCGTGCGCCACCACCGCCCGGCGTGAATTCATAATCGTTAAACCTGTACTGGGCCATGAAAAGAGGGCCAGGGGAGGAAGAGAGTGGACACAGGTTGTCTGAGACACCGTTAAGTATGCTGTTAACAGCAGTGATAACGAGAAGGCCGGGTATCTCTGCATCTTCCTTTCCTTTTCATCCAACCAAGACATCCAAGAGAAGGGCACAGGTTGTGACTTTGTGTCACATTCTCTTAGCAAGCCACCAAGTGGCACTATCGGATAAGGACAGTTTAGTCGCTGGGAGGGTTCTTGGCAGCTAGAGAAAAGCAGAAGCCATGGGCTTTGAGTATGTAGCATTCATTACAGAGAGAATGCTCGTGCATCTGGATTGAGTAAATTGTACAAGATACATTTTAAATCCTCCTTCCTGAATGAAAAGATTAACCAGTGTGGAGTGATGGGCAGGACACTGGCAGGGGGGTCAGAGGGTCAATTCCATTTTAAACTCTCCACCCAGTCCTCACAGGACCTTGGCTACGTCCTTTAACTTAGTTGAAACTTGGTTCTCTTCACAGTAAAGTATGTCTAAAACCCAGCTGGCGCAGACAGGCAAGGAGCAATGGCCAGTGGTGACGACGCCCGTGAGACAATTCAGAATAGTGTAAGATGACACACGTTTCCACAGGGTCATAATTATGTCTTCATCCACAAAAGCAAGGTTTGGACCGGAGGATCTGGAGATGGTCTCTGTTCTAGAGTCCTGGTGATCTGAGTAGTGCAGATATTAAGAGTTTACTGTTAACACTAATGGGAGAAAGAGACCTACCTAGTCTGAGGCCTACAGAGGCCTTGATTTGATGAATATGATGTACCAAATTCCTGCTCCAAAGGACTGCTGAGTGGCCTGAGACACATCGCAATATCAGGTGCTTTTTCATATTCGGCCTGTTAAATTAAGGCAGCCATATAATTTGTCATCTAAGCTAGAACACTTTGGTATAAAAGGGATGCTCTTAATAAGCACGCCTCTGTAATAGGCTACAGCAGACACATCCCAAGCAAACTGGAGCATCTGGTCCCCTTATTATCTGTCAGATGTGTCACTTAGGTATGGGACAGGAGCTCCTATGGGACTTCATCATCTCTGCTGCTTTGTGGAATAGCAAGACGCAGGCCACATTAAGGAGGATGAGGCTTGCTTTGACTCTTTTTTTTTTTTTTTTTTTCGGTTTTTCGAGACAGGGTTTCTCTGTGTAGCTTTGTGCCTTTCCTGGATCTCACTCTGTAGCCCAGGCTAGCCTCGAACTTACAGATATCCACCTGCCTCTGCCTCCCAAGTGCTGGGATTAAAGGCATGCGCCACCACCGCCCGGTTCGCTTTGACTCTTAAGGAAGAGTAACACGGAAACTCTGCGGTTAAAGGTGAGAAGACATTCTGTGGCGTCACATCTCCTGAAAGCTGGTTTCTTTTGCAGTTTATAAACATTTGTCTGGGAGGAAGAGTAAGGCCAGCTCAGGGTCTCTGCTCACTGTGGGACTAAGAGCATGTGTGCTAAAGCTTAGCAATTGCAGATATCCACTACTTCTCAAAGAAAGTGAGTCCTGACACCAAGCGTAAACAAAGGGCTCAAAACATTTCATCCCAGAGAATTCTATGGGCATCCATGTGCTTAGGGACCTCCAGACCAGAGAATAAAAGACTGGTGTTATCTGTGAAATGCACAGAACGATCAAAGTCATCTTTAAAAAACATTTGAAGTTCATTGCACCAATTACAGATTTTTCATGAGACAAAAATTCTCATATTCCCTGAAGAGAATCATTAAAGCTAAAAATATTTGTATGACTGAGCTTGGAAACAAATAACAAACAGATCAATTTTCTGCAGTTTGATATGAAAAAAAAGTCCCAAAAATGCCAAAAATTGCAACTAATGAATTTCTTTATATGTTTTAGAGTATGTTATTAAATGTAGTTGCTCATTTAATTCTTGAATTAAATTTGTTTAGAAAAGTATTAATTAGCTTTATTAGATCTATAGCTTGCACGTATGGTGATATGTTTATCACACAGAAGTGTAAGAATGATCAAATGTAAAAGTGGATGACAGAAATCAGCTTGGTAATTTAAAATATATATATAATAAATGTAATTTATACATGGACTATGGAGAATGAAATCAATAAACTTGTCTTGTGTTCTGTAGCCATTTGGTCACTTTCAAATATTAAAAATTAGAGTTTCTTTCTGAAAATGTTCTCAGCCTCATTGCTTGGCCCTGGAAATGGTTGTGAATTTGTAATTCTGGAGATGTGGCACTATGATTTTTTGATTTATTTTGAGAATCTACACTGGGTTCTAGAGTATTTTTACTCCAATTACCAAATTACATGGTAAGAAACAGCAGTTAGGGACCTGTAATATTGCACACGGATGCCGATCAGGTGCTGAGGGCTCTGTCTGTACTTTCTTAGGTCCTTGTACTCTGCCTAAAGCAAGCAAGGATGCTTCCCCAGATGATCTGTGCGTTCTGAGAAGTCCAGGGAAGACTCTGACAAAATGGGGTTATCGCTTTGCCCAAACACACTTTCATAAATTATTACTTTTTATGAGCCAACTACCATTTTATGACCATGATTAGGTAACGATAAAGCGGCACACCACTGCACCTGTACAATGCCAAATCATGTCAAAGTCCAACTCCCCAAGCTGCCTGTTGCCAGGATACTCAGTTACACTTTTTTTTATGAGCAGGTGCTCTAGCTAGTGGGACAAACAGCTTTAGCCTGGTCATTAACATCACAAGAAGACGGAGGAGGACAGATACACTAGAAAGTTCTGCTGGACCTAGAGTAGTATTTCTTTAACCTTCAGACATGTTGCAGAAGACAGTGGATGGAGCTTCGGGAAATCTGAACTTTCAAAGTGTGACTCAGTCTCCCTGTGACTTTGGACAGCCCACACTTGGTGTGGACCGGACTCAGTCTCCCTGTGACTTTGGACAGCCCACACTTGGTGTGGACCGGACTCAGTCTCCATGTGACTTTGGACAGCCCACACTTGGTGTGGACCAGACTCAGTCTCCCTGTGACTGACTTTGGACAGCCCACACTTGGTGTGGACCTCCAGGTCTGCATCTTTCATCATTGCAATCCTACCCCAGCTCTCCCACGTCATTTTTGTAGGAGTCAGTGAGATGCCCATGAACCACAGACTAAAAACACTGTATAAATTCAAGGTACTGATAGAGCTTTCCCAATGGCTCAAGATGCAATGTTGGGCAACTGAATGGCATCAGATATTAAATCATTAAATGGCAGAATGATTTCATTTTTTTACTCAAAACTGAAGAACGACTTGATTTCTTAGAATGCTTCATTTGCTTTGTCCAGAAAACTGCTGCCTCAAATGGAAATATGAATTGCTTCTAGAATCCAATAAGAAGCTGTGACCCAGCTTCTTATTAAAATACCAGGGAACCAAGAGGAGGCCCCCAGATTTTTGAAATACTAGACCAAAACTTATTATATCATTATTCCGTTTCTCATGGTGAGTTCCGGATTCCACACTGCTTTAAGGAAAAGCGAGAACCCAACCCCTCTCAGTCTCCCAACGGCCAGAAACTGAAGAGTGGTTGAACATACATTGGAGGATCATTACAGAATCATTTGTGAGAACTGGAGGCAGGAGAGATGGCCATAAAAGCTGTAAACACAACTAGGAATGAGTAGTTACAAGTCTACGTTAAAAATAGGATCAGCAGACATGGTGGTGCATGTCCATTTGGCAGGCTGAGACAGGAAGATCTTGAAACCAAGGCCCGTCTATGCTACATAATGAGACCTGTCTCACGGAAAAAGAAAGAGAAATGGGGAGGGAGAGAGGAGGAGGGAACAAAAGATAATTATCATCAATAAGAATTTCAAAAACACAGTCTTGAGTTAAGAACAAGAAAAACAGGAAACGTGAGATATCATGAGAAACAAGATATAAAGCCTAAGGAAGGATTTTGTGTGCCCGAGCAGTGAATGTCTTTTTTTATTACTATTATTTTAATTTGTGTGAATGGATGTTTTGCCTGCATATCTCTCCATGCACTGTGTGTGGACCTGGTCCACAAAGAGGCCCCAAGAAAGAGTTGGATCCCTTGGAACTAGAGTTACAGACAGTTCTGAGCTGCCATGTGCATGTTAGGAATTGAACCCGGGTCCTTTGGAAGAGCAGCCAATGCTCTTAACCGCTGAGCCATCTCTCTAGTCCCTAGTTAACAAATGTCTTAATGTGAGACCAAGTTAAACAAATAAATGAACAAACACATAATTGACAGACTGGTGGTCAGTCTATTTTCCAGAACTTGCCTATGTATCTCCCTGTACCTTTGCATCCAGGAGGACACTTAAGGGCATGCAATATCCATTGTGCTGTGGCCCACACCCATCCCTGACCTTGGATTTTTTTCTTGAAAGTCAAAGTGAGTAACTGGCCACTGGCGCGATGCCTTCCAGCAGCATAGTTCAATGAATCTGAGTCTTTTCCTAGTTGACTTAAATAGCATCAGGGCCTCCTGCTGCTTCTTACAGATCTGCCCCTGAGGCTGTCTAGTCATCTAGAAGCTCTTTGGAGTCTGAACTCTGAACCAGATTGAGGGAGCAAATGAAAGGGGGTCACTTGCCCCTTCAGTCCTACCCGACTGCCAGAGTTCCCAGGTAACCCCAAAGGATGAAGAGCGAGAGAACACTTAATGTGGTGATAGATGCTTCCAGCATCACTTATTTATTGCATAGCATTTCACCCCCAGCCACCAGCAGACTAGGAAGTTGGACAGAGAGGGAACACGAGCTCTAAGGAGGCCTGCTTATATAAATTTCCTCAGGGAGAAGACACACGGGCAGGAAATGGAATTACATCAACAAAGGCTACGCTGTGTAAGCAGATCTGTGATGACCTTAAGAATTCCAGGAAATTTCCATCTAGACCCATCTAGATCTGTCTAGATCCAGTGGCCAGAATGACTGTCGTTAGTTTCCTGATTAGTGGTCTCTAAGATTAGAACCGCCTCAGTGTCTACCTTGGAGTTTTTTGTTTGTTCCCGCCATATGAGGATAGACCAGTTCACTTGCAAACAGAGTGACTGGGTTTTCATGTTTGGTCACATTTTATGAAAACCACAAGAGTAAATTATAAGAAACATGGAGATGGGTCAACCTAACTCCCCTATGTTGGACAGCAGCACTTCAGTTGCCTACATGGCAATGGACTAGTAATCGTCTGAAACAGAGTCACTCAACCTTGTGAGTGATAGGTTTTCTGTAGCCCTATAATAGGTTTCTCTGCTGACACAGTAAGCCAGATCAAGCCGAATTAGAAAGAACTGGTTTATTTGGAAAAAGCACTCTCAGGTGACCTTCCAGCCCTCAGAGGTGAGGCGGGAAAAGGGGGCAGAAGAAATCATATATCTCCTAGATGCTGGTAGGTCTAGAGGCAGGGGCTTAAATACCCTGTAGGCGTGGTCCTGCGCTTCGGGGGAGGTCTTCCTGAGGGGGGTGGGGTTTGGGGAGGGAGAAGTGGAGCTAAGGTGGAGTTTCCAGCCAAACAGTGAGGAATAGCCCCTTAAGCCCCCTACATTTATTCTGAACTTCTTTTTGTTTGAGTCATATGAATAGTGGTCCTCTTTCTCTCAGTGTAAGTACAAGGCTTCCTTGAGAGAACTTAAGCAGCTCGGGGGTATAGTGCCTCTGTGGGGTCATAAGGCCAGGATCCCACAGGTATTTTAGACAGGGAAGAGGCCTTGGAGATGGCTCAGCCAGCAACGGCACTTGCTGCCAAGTCTGATCACCTGAGCTGGATCCCCAGAACTTCTTATAGCCGGTGAGAATCAGATCCAAGATGTCTTCTCTCTCTCTCTCTCTCTCTCTCTCTCTCTCTCTCTCTCTCTCTCTCTCTCTCTCTCTCACACACACACACACACACACACACACACACACACACACACACACACCATAATATGTGTTTAAAAAGATATGCATTTTAAAAACCCAACTATGACTTCTAATCTTTGAGTTTCACTCTTGCCTTAAAATTGCATTGCAGCTGAGAAAGTGCTCTCTGCTCTGAAGGCTGGGCTGTCCTCTGCCAGGACTAGTCTGTGCTGGTGCCTGCGGGAGACTATTCAGCATCTCGCTGAGGATAGATGCAGGGACTTTCCTGGCAGCTGATAGGGATGGGCAAACCTGCACCTGCTTGGTGTATGTCACTCACTCCAAATTTCACACATGCCTGGGGTCCACAGCATTAGGACGGCAGATCTCCATTGGGACCAGCTGACGTTCAGAGGCTGTGAGCCGGGAGAATGTCCACTGGCACCAGGACCCACATCTGTGATCTGCACAGCAGAGATAATTTGTGTCCCCATCAGGGCTGTGCCCACCAGCATGCCCTGGGCAGGCAGGCAGGAAAGGGTTCCTTCCGTGCTGGTTTTTAACTGGATGGGTTGGCTCTGTGCATCCCTCCAGACCACAGGCCACATTTCTACTGCCTCCTTTCCCATTCATTCAGCATTTTGTTATTTTTTTTCTTTCTTTTTTTTTTTTTTTTCTTTTTTCAGAGCTGAGGACCAAACCCAGGGCCTTGTGCTTGCTAGGCAAGCGCTCTACCACTGAGCTAAATCCCCAACCCCTCACTCAGCATTTTGGAAGTCCAAGGAATTTGTCAGTGTTCAAAACTTAATTCAGGTTACACAGCATAGCTATTAAAAACAAAAATCCATGTGACCTTTGAAATAAGTCATTATACCCAGAAATAACAGTGCAGGGGATGTGTTCAAAGACAGAGTCATCTAAGGAAGAAATTCTGTCACTTCTACACTTACGTTTTACCAGCTGTGTGAACCCATTGTTTGTCTAAAAACTTTTTTCATGAACTCTAAATGGTAGGAAGTAGTTTTGGCTTCAGAATAGCAGTGGTACCCGGTGTTAGCCTACTGCCCTGTTACTTACAGCCTAGTCCTTTCCGACAGGCTAGTTTCTGGGGCTCAGGGTAGAGTTCAGGTTCCCTGGTCATCCTTGAACAGTCTGCTGCTCCCACTACTTCTCTCTCTCTCTCTCTCTCTCTCTCTCTCTCTCTCTCTCTCTCCCCCCACCCACCCACCCTTTCTCTCTCACACACACTAAAACAAATGTATTTAACAAAGAACTGTCTAATTCAGAAAAGACAGTTTAGCATGACCCAGTCTTAGACAGCGCCTATAGCACGAGACTGAAAACCTACAGTCTGGTTATTCTTTCTCTCAGTGGTTTGGAATTCATTCTGACGAAGAGGGAATTATATATTTTTACCTGAAAGTGCTTTTCCTAATTGCTTACTTTAAAATTCAAGTGATAATTATATTTATATAACATTTCAAAGCTGGCATGATAGCACAAGCCTATAATCTCAGGACTCGGGAGTTAGGGGTAGGAGGTTCAAGGGCAGTGCCAGACAGCTATATATCCAACCTGAGGCCGGCTGGGCTACACGAGACCCTGCCTCAAACAAACAAACAACAAAAGCAGCAGAGAGAGAGAGAGAGAGAGAGAGAGAGAGAGAGAGAGAGAAAGAAAGAAAGAAAGAAAGAAAGAAAGAAAGAAAGAAAGAAAGAAAGAAAGAAAGCATTTGAAAGAACTCCCAGATAGGTTATCTTGTTAGAACCTATTTAATAACCATGGGTTCATTAAGTAATTACTGTCTATTAACATCATAACCTTAATTGGTTTGTCAAAGATGGGTAAACAAATCCCTGAGAGAACGAGGCCTTGGGAATAGCACAGATGGATGCTATCAAACAGAGGCAGCTAGCCAGGGCAGGTTCAGTGGGGCCTTGTGGTGCCACCCCTACTCCCACACGAGCACCTGCATCCACACAGGTGTGAGGAGGAGGTGAGGGGTAGTAGGAATGGCAGAAGTCAGGAAGACAAATGTCACCCATTAATGCTTTTGCCTGGGGCTGCCCGGACTTTATATCGATAGATAGACCCATCATAATGTTTCCCGGGAGAACCGCTAGAGGATGATGCAGGAGGATTACTGTGAGTTTGAAGCCAGCCTGGGTTTCAAAAACACCAAAAGGGAAAGGGAAGTGAATAAATCCATCACTCCCCCAGATCTCATGTGCACCCACCCATCCCCCAAGCCTCTTCTTCTTGGTCCCCTTCTCCAGGCCACCACTGCTGTGCATTATCCCACGTGTCACAGACAACGTATGTTGCCTCTCTCCTCGATTCCTGTTATCACTCCCTTTTAATATCTCTTCTCTTGCTTCTGGGCCCCAAGTGATCTTTGCTCAGAGAAATCCCTTAATCATCACTAGCTTGACCAGAAGACCTTTACAGACATGTAACTCAGCTTCAGTTTGGTGGTTATGGAGAGCCTGCTGTGTTAAAGGTTTAAGCCCATCACCCCTGCCCCACAAATCTGTTAGCTCCGTGATTCATAGCTTTAAGCTCCTAAAAAAAAAAAAAAAGGCTCAACAGCGAAGGAGGAGTGGATGGGTGGGGAGGAGGAAGGAGGAACTGGGAAGAGAGGAGGGAGGGGAAACTTAGATTAGGATATAAAGACAAAAATAAATAAGCAAAAAAATATGGAGAAAGAAAGAATTCTATGCAAATAAAACAAAGAAATAAACAAAAATAGAGGTACAACCTTGATTTAGCATCCACGGACATCCCAGGGGTCTAGAAAATGGTCTTCAAGATATGTGTTGGAGGACGATCCCTCTTATTGGCTGTCCCATGCAGAGTGGTCAGCCTTGAAACCACATATATACTTTCAACAAAAATGGACTCGGCTTGCATTTACACATTTTTGTGCACACACACACACACATGTGTGCACAAACACATGTGACAATAATAATCAAAGAAAAAGAGGCTGTCCACTTGAGAGTAAGGGGGGACATGGGACAGGCTCAAGGCAGGGTAGCTAGGCGGGACTGGAGGAGGAAAGGAAGGCGAATGCCATACGATTCTATTTCAAGTAAAAACGTGTTTTTTTTTTTTTTAAAAATAAGACCTTTAAAAAAATGTGTGTTGGAGTTGAACATAAGTCTAGCACTCAAGTAGATCTTTGTGAGTTCGAGGCCAGCCTGATCTACATGGAGAGTTCCAGGCAAATCAAAGCTACATACTGTGAAACATGGTCTCAAAAAAAAAAAAAAAAAAATTGTTGGGGCAGGGCTCCTTGGTGGTAAATACCTGGGAAAGGTCTTGGGATTCCATCACATTCCAAAGCTTCTTCACCAAATATTTAGTTTTGTTGTTGTTGTTGATGATGATTTGAGGCAGTCTTGCTCTGAAACTCTGCTGGCCTCAAACTCAGGACAATTCTCCTGCCTCAACCTACCAAGAGCTGAGTACAGGCATGAGCTATCCCATACACCTCCTCTCTGGACTCTAGTCCTCCGCAGGTGAACTATTGAATACCATCAGTTCTCCTCCTTACTGCCCTGTTTGCAATTTTCCTCAGCATGTGTCCAGTCCTCTGTGAGCTCGGCTGCCCTCTTCTCTCCCACCTCCCCAGCCTGGGCTTTCTTCAGTATCTGCCCTGGATAGATAAGCCCTGCCTGAGACAAGCTGCAGGAAATGGTTGGTTCTCTCTCCAAGGCTTTCTCACCTAAAATACACGATATACTATTCCTTTTATCCAGTGACTCTTCCTCCACCCAACATTTGACCTTGAATACCTGGACACCATTTGAGCTAAAAAAAAAAAAAAAAATCACAAAAGTCTACTTTCTGGAAAACTCAGAGTGCAGGGTTTCTTTTCATTACAAATACGGTAGATATTTTCACGATTGTAGATATATGGAGAACAAGAAGTAGTAATATGCATGTAGCACTTCAAAACCCAGCCGGATAATCACTCCACCTACACCAAACACAAACTATATATATATATATATATTTTAAACACTATTATGTTTGATTTTTAGATAAAAAGCTAGAGATGTAGAGCAGCAGTAGTTGGTATTTGAATGATGAAACGATAAATAACAGTTGCACAGATAATGGAAACAGAAACAAGAAACAGTAAAACAACCGCAACAACAAACACCGCTCTGCTTTACTGCTCCAAATTCACTACAATCTGGCAGACACTTTTTGCAAAAGACCTGGTTTCTCTCCCCCAGCAGCACTCTAGCATTTGGGGCTCATCTCTATACAAGTTCATTCTCCGCATTCACGGCCCACGTCAGAAAGCTACTTACGTGGAAGCCTGGGCGAGCTCTGCGCTGGAAGCAGCGGGTGCTGGTGCCTGCCGGCTTAAATAGCCTGCTGGCTGACGCGGCGGCGGCTGCCGAGCGCACGTTTATTTACGCCTGGGAGTGCACGCTCCAGCAAGGACCTGAAAAACCTGCAGCGTGGGCAGGCGGGAACCACTGAAAGTCAGCCCGCCTTACGTCTCTCCCGGTTATTCAGGTTTGATGCTCGCTCAGGCGGTGACTTCTGAGAGTCTCCTTAGAACTTTTCATTCAGCGCTGTCCCCTTAGCCACCAAGATCACTTGGAGGGTGCCTCTGAGAGACGTGAGAGAGCAGCAAGCCCCTGGCTCTTTCCCCAGCTTCCTTATTTGGAGCCGGCTTGGGTTAGATGTTGCCGCCTCTCAAAGCTTTGGTCTGCCAGGCTGCATTCACAGCTCTGCGGGCAATGCGCCAAACCCAAGCGCCTGGACTGATTCCCAATTAATGAAAAGCTGTTTTCTTTCGGACACAGAATGTACAAACAAGGAAAAACTGAATCAGAGGGCCGGTATGAGACAATTTGAGGTTCCTTTCAAATACTCATTTCTTTTTTTTTTTTCTGCATTTGCCCTTTGTTAATGGAATTCCTATCTGAGGGTTCAAAGATTCCTCGCTGAAACTCGCGTTAAAAGGTAATGTGCACGCAAGGCTATGCGAAGGTAGCGCCAGGCGTGAGTGTTCAAAGGCTCCTGTGACTGGAGGCGGAGATGCTGGAGTGTGGATGTGGGTGAGGACCCCACGGGTCCAGGTCTATTTTTGTTTTATTAGCTGGATAGGCCGTTGGCAGTTGCCGCAGTGAACACACGAGATTGTGACTTGGAGGGGAGGAAGGAAGGGACTCCGGGCTACTGAGATCATTTATGGGAGTATCTGTGTATGTAGCACAAGCTAGAGCCTCCCCAGGTCCTCACCCTGTGTGTCTCACCTGCCTGGTGAAAGAAAAGCCCACTTGATTCTCCTGGGAACTGGAATCACATTGGAAGAACAGCAGAGACTGTTTGGACAAAGGGAGATAATAGCTCCAATACTTGTGTAGGAGAAAGAAGAGAGACATCCCGGTTCCCAAGGGAATTCTTTTGCTTCCTGTCTCTTGGTTTCTTCTCTTCTAACTCTTCTATGACCACATCTGGACCCTTGCCTTCCAGGGTTCTTCAATACACGATCTACTGTTGATCTCCTGACAGCCAGGGTTATAGTGATGGTCATGGTCATAGTCTGGGGTGAGGGTGTGGGTAGCTCAGGAGTGGAGCTCTTGCCCAGCATGTGTGAAGCTCCATGTTTCATCCACAGCAGGGCAAGGGACAAACAAGCCAAACAAGCCTTCCTGTGTGACGATGACAACCTGGATCTAGAGAGACTAACTGGGTGCCAGCCTTCAGAGTTTCCTCATCTGTCAAGTCCTCACCACAACACTATGAATTAAGTTCTTTCATTATCTACCCTGTAGATGAGGAAACTGATAGCCAGAAAGATTAAATAGCATTCTCGGGAGCCACAGCAAGTGGCGGGAATGAAATTGGAATCCAGATCTGATTTCAGAGCCTGGGTTTACATTTAGGAATGATTGAAATGGATATTTAGAAAAGTTGCCAGAGAATCTTTTCACCTATTCTCATTTGGCCACTTCTCATCTGGCTTCCAGAAGGTGACTTCCATGATCCCAATGACCTGGTGTGCTCTGTGCAACCCTAGAACCTGGCATTGTACCCGGCACATAGTAGGTCCTCAGCGGATATGTGTCATTTGTTCCAATTCTAAATTCTTTCAGAAGCCACACAAGCCGATCAATAAGGGGTTGGCATCAGCGAAGACTTATCTCGGTCCAGGCATGCTTGTCTTGTTCTCGTGCAGCACACTGGCATCCAGCTATTTCTCTTGATCTCCCCGTACATCATGGAAGTGAACCCAGACATGGCTGAAAGCAGGAAGCAGTGTTAATCCCACCGATCGAGAATAAGACCACTTCCACAGTTTAAAGCCAAATTTGAAGAAAGCTTTAATTAAATACTGGCCAGGTGGATAGGCTCTGGCCAGGTCCATACCCAGGTTCCTGGGAAATGGCCCAGAATCCCAGTTTGTAGCAGATTAAGAAGGGAAACCCATAATTCATTGCATTTCCCATCAGGTCCAATCAGAGGCAAGCATACATCCTGACGCACCTCCATTCTGTGGACCTCCTGCCAGTATGTGATCAAGCACGTCAGTGCAGATGGGTCAAACAAACTTGTTTAGTGGAGTGAAAACATGTGACTTGTTATCTCCTGTAAACAAGAGCTTCCAATGTTTCAGCAACTATCTGTCCTTGGGTAAGGGGCTTGCAGATCAGAGGCGTTTTTGTTTCATGGATCTCTTAGGCATAGTCATTAAAACTTAAAATGTAACTTTGGCTCTCACAGCAGTTTTTATATCACTTAAGAATTCTGAAGGCATGTGATTTCAGTGTTCAATGATGCAGTGATCTGCCCAGAAACCCTAGATTTTTCTCTTTCATCTTGTGGCCCCCAGTGCAATGGCATTATCTCCTATCACAGTGGCAAGGTAACTACAGTAGCTCTGTGCATCGTGTCTGTGAGGAAAAGCCAGGGGTGTTTTCTGAGTCTTCTTCTTTGTTGGTTTAGAGGAAAGATTGTCAGAGACCATGTGCAGACTTCCACTTGTGATATCTGGGTCACATGGCTACCAAAGCAACTAACTCCATCATCTGCAGAGAGGAAGGCAAGCAGGCAGACCATGACTCATCTCCCAGGTTCAGGCAAAGGATCCATATTATCTAGCTATGCTCTTCTGAATGCTTATCACAATCTGGACTTGGCTAATGGGGATCATGGCTACCAACAATTCTATCAAACCAGGAGGTGGTTTAAGTGACTATCTAAGCTGTGTTCCTGCTTAGGCACCAGACCAGAACAGTTTTCTATCAGTTCTCTCTGGGATGGATGGATGGATGGATGGATGGATGGATGGATGGATGGATGGATAGATGGATTGGTTGATTGGTTAATCTAATCAGAAAACCTTGTGTAGCCTCCCAGTAACTTAAGACTATTTCAATAGCTCCCAGACAAGGGAAGCTGCTGGCTACAGTGATCCTTCACAAGCACGTTTAGATCCAAGTCTTCTGTGGGAGGCCAGCTTCCACCTTTACCAGGGTTCCTATGAGGAGGAGAGAGGGATAAGAAAATATCAGATAGAAAGAGAAACCTAATACTTACCTGGCAGGGGAGATACCATGATCACGAAGGTGGTTTTCCCAGGGCGAGGCTTATCCATTGCACTCCGGATGTGCTGACCCCTGCGATTTCGCCAAATGCGGGAAACTCGACTGCATAATTTGTGGTAGTGGGGGACTGCGTTCGCGCTCTCCCCTGTAAATAAAAAAAAAAAAAAAAAAAAAAGAAAGAGAGACCTAGACGACGACGAGGGGAAAAGACAGTAACACGGGATAGCTTCAGGAGGACCTGGGTCAATATCCAATGGTCCTTTTCCGTTTATTCAAAAAGGCTTTTTATAACAATGCCAAGGGGCGGGGCAAAAGACCTCCCCCTTGCTAGATCAAAGCACACTGCACAGCCAAGTGTAGACCCTTCCAAACACCTGGTAACCATACCTGTGGTCAAATCATCCCCTTCTGCAGCCCTGCTGGGTAAAGCAAGCTCAGATTCTCTGACCCTGAGTGATTTGGGCCTCCACAGTCTTTGTATCAACATTGCTCCCCAGAGACCAGCACACAATGGGCCAGTGTTCTGGGCCAGATGGTGATGCTACTGGTGTCTTAGGACGGTTCTGATACTCAACTGCTTATAAGAAGATGGGGAAGCAGGCTCTGGTGCTTTGAGGTGCCTTTTCCTACTCCTCCTCATCCGTTGTTTCAGGGAATTTCATAGTCAGCACTTTGCCTCTGCCTGTGAGCTCCAGCCACCGCACAGGATACATGGTTCTGTTCTCCCGGTAGCTAACGAAGTGCAAGTGAACACAGGCAAATGGGCTGTTCTTTTCCTTCCATTTACTGCTGTGGGTCTTTTTCTTGTTGGGAACCCCTTTCTTCATGGCCACGGAGAACAGAAAGGGGAGAAGGGTGAGCTGAGAGCCAGGGCTCCAGAGAAGAGGGAATGCCTGGGAAATGGTCGGTGTTGGATCCATGTTTGCTGAGTTGCTGGAAAGGTGGTTTCCGGGAAAGAAGAAATCACACACCACTCACTGAAAGGGCGATTTATTGTTCTTGTATCTGCCACAAGCCACGAAGAATCAGTGTGGGCCTTTGCTAGAACCAGGGAACCGGGAAACTCTTCTTCCAGGAGCCAAGGAAAATGTCTCCCCGCTTGGCCAGTCTCCATCCTCTTGGTCCAGGTACCGTGTCGATTGCCAGTTCCTCTTCGGCTCCTCACACTGTTCCAGTCCCAGCCAGGTTAGACTCCCCGCAAAGCCTTGACATCCGATCAACACACACAAATCTTTCAGTGAGTGGTGGGCTTTCAGATCACATGGGTTCAAGTCCCACCATTTCTGTTTACCAACTGTGTGATCCCGGCAAACTTACAAAACTTCTCTTGGCCTGTTTCCGCCTATGCAAAATGCAAGTGATGCTATTTATCGCATCGACGTATTACAAATACTAATGGTTATACGTGGAAAGTACTTATCAGTACTTACATCATACTAGAGCATAATGTAAGACGTAGCAACAATAAATATTTGCAACCTGTCCATAGTTCTTTCCATGGAACTCATGCAAAGGTGGTTAAATGTCACCTGCCCAGGTGCCACAGAAGACATGGTGGCAGAGTCACCTATAAAACAAGGGAACAGCCCCTCTCATCTTGCCAGAAGCTCAAAGGCACTGATTGCCAGGAAGCTGGTTGATGAATAGAGAGCTCATAGAACCAAGAAGGAGAGAGAGAGCAAGAGGGGGAGGGAGGGAGGGAGGGAGAGAGAAGGTGAGTGTTCTTGGGGAACCCTTCAGACAGTTCAGTGATGAATGTTACTCTCCAGAAGCCCATTATTGACCTCCACTAGGAAGCATCTCTGTCCAGGAATGGAAACACACCCCCTCAATGTTCTGCCCCCAAGCTATAAACTTGAGCGTGGAAAGGCTGGCAGCTCTGCCGCTGTGTGTTGATCGGATGTCAAGGCTTTGCGGGGAGTCTAACCTGGCTGGGACTGGAACAGTGTGAGGAGCCGAAGAGGAACTGGCAATCGACACGGTACCTGGACCAAGAGGATG